TCTTTGTTCCATCTGTTGCCTCAAATCTCTTCTTCATCTGTGAGGAATTTGTCCAGCATTCATTTCCACCTCGGAGGATTTATATTATATAAAAGTTATGGTCTCATTTCGTTGTTTCTGTTGCCTCAAATCTCCTCTTCATCTGTGAGGAATTTGTCCAGCATTCATTTCCACCTCGGAGGATTTATATTATATAAAAGTTATGGTCTCATTTCGTTGTTTCTGTTGCCTCAAATCTCCTCTTCATCTGTGAGGAATTTGTCCAGAATTCACTTCCATCTCGGAGGATTTATATCATATAAAAGTTATGGACTCATTTCATTGTTTCTATTGCCTCAAATCTCCTCTTCATCTGTGAGGAATTTGTCCAGCATTCATTTCCACCTCGGAGGATTTATATTATATAAAAGTTATGGTCTCATTTCGTTGTTTCTGTTGCCTCAAATCTCCTCTTCATCTGTGAGGAATTTGTCCAGCATTCACTTCCATCTCGGAGGATTCACATTATCTACAAATAATGGACTCATTTCTTTGTTTCTGTTGCCTCAAATCTCTTCATCTGTGAGGAATTTGTCCAGAATTCACTTCCATCTCGGAGGATTTATATCATATAAAGTTATGTACTCATTTCATTTTGTTTCCTATTAAAAGTTATTTCATTGTTGCCTCAAATCTCCTCTTCATCTGTGAGGAATTTGTCCAGCATTCATTTCCACCTCGGAGGATTTATATTATATAAAAGTTATGGTCTCATTTCGTTGTTTATCTTGCCTGAGGAATTTGTCCTCTTCACCTGGAGGATTTATATTATATACAAATTTGTCTCATTCTTTTGTTTCTGTTTCTCTCTCTTCATCTGTGAGGAATCTCGGACTTCCATCTCGGACATTATCTACAAATAATGGACTCATTTCTTTGTTTCTGTTGCCTCAAATCTCTTCATCTGTGAGGAATTTGTCCAGAATTCATTTCCACCTCGGAGGATTTATATTATATAAAAGTTATGGTCTCATTTCGTTGTTTCTGTTGCCTCAAATCTGTGAAGAATTTGTCATCACCTCGGAGGAATTATATGTCCATTTCGTTTCATTTGCCTCAAATCATATGTGAGGAATTTGTCCTCGGAGTTATGGATTTATTTTCCATATAAAAGGATTGGTATCATTTTGTTGTTTCTTTTTGTTGCCTCAAATCCAGCATTTTCATCTCGGAGGCCTCCGTTTCTCCTCTTCATCTGTGAGGAATTTGTCCAGCATTCATTTCCACCTCGGAGGATTTATATTATATAAAAGTTATGGTCTCATTTCGTTGTTTCTGTAGCCTCTCATCTCCTCTTCATCTGTGAGGAATTTGTCAGCATTCACTTCCATCTCGGAGGATTCACATTATCTACAAATAATGGACTCATTTCTTTGTTTCTGTTGCCTCAAATCTCTTCATCTGTGAAATTTGTCCAGAATTCGTCGAGGAGGATTTAGTTATCAATTCACTTCCATCTATCTGGTGAGGAAGGATTTATTTATATTATAAAAGTTATGGTCTCATTTCGTTGTTTCTGTTGCCTCAAATCTCCTCTTCTTCATCTGTGAGGAATTTGCCTCAAATTCTCTTCATCTGTGAAGAATTTGCATTCATTTCCACCTCGGAGGATTTATATTATATAAAAGTTATGGTCTCATTTCGTTGTTTCTGTTGCCTTCAAATCTCCTCTTCATCTGTGAGAATTTGTCCAGCATTCAATTCCACCTCGGAGGATTTATATTATATAAAAATTATGGTCTCATTTCGTTGTTTCTGTTGCCTCAAATCTCCTCTTCATCTGTGAGGAATTTGTCCAGCATTCATTTCACCTCGGAGGATTTATATTATATAAAATTTATGGTCTCATTTCGTTGTTTCTGTTGCCTCAAATCTCCTCTTCATCTGTGATTTTGGAATTTGTCCAGCATGGACTCATTTGCCCAAACTTGGATCGGAGGATTTATATTTATATATAAAGTTATGGTCTCATTTCGTTGTTTCTGTTGCCTCAAATCTCCCTCTTCATCTGTGAGGAATTTGTCCAATTATGGTCTCATTCACTTCTCTTCATCTGGAAGGATTCGGAGGATTTTATATTACAAATAATGGACTCATTTCTTTGTTTCTGTTGCCTCAAATCTCTTCATCTGTGAGGAATTTGTCCAGAATTCATTTCACCTCGGAGGATTTATATTATATAAAATTTATGGTCTCATTTCGTTGTTTCTGTTGCCTCAAATCTCCTCTTCATCTGTGAGGAATTTGTCCAGCATTCATTTCCACCTCGGAGGATTTATATTATATAAAATGGTTCATGGTTTCATTTCATCTGTGAGGAATTTTGCATTCACTTTTCTGTTGCCTGAAATGTCCTCTTCATCTGTATTGCCTCAAATCTCTCTTCATCTGTGGAGAATTTGTCCAGCATTCATTTCCACCTCGGAGGATTTATATTATATAAAAGTTATGGTCTCATTTC